CCCTGCAGCAGGGCTGCGCCTCAGAAGTGGTTTTGTACTCCATACCCACTGCTTAGGAAGGGCTTGAGGTAAATATGTGAACTGAGTTAAATTGTATTTGGCTTTTAGTTTTTCACACGTGTGAGCATCAGTAGGATGTACTCCACTGCTGCGCGGCCAGGATGCGTTCACTTCTCATCGGCAGTCACTGTATTAACTACTTCCTCTTTAATTATTTTGGTACGAAATTTTGTTTTATTTTTCATAGAAGTATAAATAGTGGTTTTTATATTTTCTTTCTTAATATCTACTTGTGTTACATGAAAATCAAATGATGTAGGAAATGACATTTACTAAGTGGACATGACATTGTAAGAAAGGCCTGGGGGTGCCTTCACCTCTGATTGGATCAACCTCAGTTATTCATTTGGCTCGGCTTCAAGAGTAGGCAATTTTGACACAGAATCAAAGTGCTGTAACTACCCTGCCTCATTAGTACCACCTACTTCCCATGCAGCAATGTCTCCATGTTCTTTTTTCTATTTTTTCCAGTACTGGGGATTGAACTCAGGACCGTGCACTTGCAAGGCAGACACGGTGCCACTAAGCTGAATACCCAGCCCTTCCATGTTCTTTACAATAGAAGTATGCAAAACTCCTTTATTTTTTAAAATTTAATGTTGTCTTTAATTGACATGCGATACTGAAAGTTGGCCTTCTAGAAGCTGAGACTGGAAAGCAGTCAGCAGCGGCTGGGGAGGACAGATGGGGGGTCAGAGATCCTGGGGAGGATGGAGGAGACAGGGACACAGCGTGAGGCAGGGGAGCAGCGCTGTCCTTAGACACAGGAGGGAGTCCCGGGTCTGTGCTGTCAGGTTGGCGTCGTGGTCGACAACAATGTGATGTGTATCTCGAGAAGCGAGCCGGGAGCATGTGGAATCTTTTACCAGACAGGTGGAGAATGTGGTGGGCTTGCTCATGACTTTGACCATGTCCTTGTGTGTGTGAACATGCCTGTGTTCCTTCCTGCTTCATCCACCGGCAAAGACAATCTCCCCCGGGGAAGCCCAGGCCCTGTGCCTCTCACACTGCCCTTGGGGAAGCATTAAACACAGTGATGGTGCCCAGGGCAAAGGACAGTAGGCCACAGACAGGGAGCTTGACCAGTGGGGCACTCACCACCGCCCCAGCTGGGGCCAGGAGGGTCAACCCCTGAGCTGAGCCCCACAGACAGGATTCAAGATTCATGGGGTCGCTCCAGACAGCCCACCCAGCATCATGATGGGTCTGAGTTGGAGGTCTCTCATGATTCCCATCGAAGATGTTCCCTAAGATCCTCGCGGGCACAGTACCCATCCTGGAGGCATCCATGGATGAGTTCCTGGCTGAATGAGCCATGAGGGCATGGGGCCCTGTTGCAGTGGTCACTGGGACTGACCATGGCTCCTCACTTCTCCCTCCATTTCTGCTAACCCCGAAGGGAGCAGCCTTTTCCCACCAGGCCATTTCTGCCTTGAAGCCAACCAACCATGGATTGAACCCACTGAAGCCATGAGGCACAAAAAAAGCCTCTTCCTTTAAGAAGCAGGTGGCAGGTATTTTGTCCCACTGCTGGGAATGTGGCTGAGACAGGGTGCTTCTCAGTGTGTCTGTGGATGGCCATGAGACGATGATCCGTATGGATGAACTCGAAGGAAAGGTTCTCAGGGAAAGAGTAACACTGGAAAGGGGACACAGAACCCCACTCCCTGGAGTACAGATCAGCTTGCTTTCTTTAGACCTCAGTTAGTCAAGGAGAACTTAGTGTGTTCAGAAAAGCCATCAAATAATGGGCATGTGTCTATGTCACATGCTGAACATTTTTCTCCCCATTTCCCCTCCCCTCTTCTTCCTCCCAGATCCCTTCCCAACTCCACTGAGCCTGCCTCCCTGTTTCCTGCTACTTCTCTTTTATTTGGCTCTTAAAATTGTTTATATTTTAAATTTCTCATATTAGAAGAGCCATATGATATTTAACCTCCTGTGTAGGACATATTTCACTTAGCATTATGGTCTTAAAATCCATCCTTTTTCCCACAAATAACTCTAATTTATTCTCTTTATGAGTGAGTATGTATAGCATATATATGATTTCTCAATGGCTGTTTTTATGAATGAAAAATTTAATTCTCAAATTCATTTGAACCTGACTAGCCAACATAATTTTAAAAGCCAACTACAACAACAAATTTTTATGGCTCACACTTCCAAATTTCAAAACTTACTCTAAAGCTGGTCATATAAAACTAGATCAATGTAAGAGAATTGGGGTGCATAGATAAATCTATACATCTATTTTCATTGATTTTGACAAAGTATCAGTGGGAAAAGTGATAACTGGAAGTATATCTTCTAGAAAATAAAGACTGATTCCCTCTATTAACCCACATACAAAACTTAATTCAAATAGGTTAGAGACCTAAATTTATACAAAACTCATACGTAAAACATAGTAGCAGATACTGATTATTTGGATTAGTCAATGGATTCTTAAACATGACAGCAAAAAGAAAACAACAAAAGAAATGAAATAGATGAGTTGAACTTCCTCACAATTGAAACCTTGTGGTATGAGGACTTTAACTCTTTTGGGAAGATGCCTAGCAGGGGAATAGCTGGGTCAAATGGATGACCTTCACAAGGAGAGGGAAAGAGGGATTGGGGGAGGGAGGGGAACATAGAATTAAGATGCATTATGTGCCTGGACAAACTCCCCATAGTCAGTGATGAACATGATCAGAATGTACTGCAAATAAGGGCATTAACAAAAAATTGAATCTTCTTGTCCACCAAGAGTAAAAAGACAATATTTAGAAAGTGTGAAAGAAAATCAATATAAAAAGAATTCTTACATCTCAACAGCAAAGAAATAAAAAACTAAAAATGGACAAAGGATTAAGTAGACATTTCTTTGAAGATCAGCACATGACCCACATACAGCGGGAAACACACAGCCTTAGTAGTCTTTAGGAAATGTGAATCAAAACTAACCTAGAACTCACTTCACACCTGCTGCAATGGCCATGAGAGAAAATTGAAACAGGAAGTCACAAGTGCTGGTGGCGGTGTGGGGAAGGGGACCACACATGGCCTGTGGCAGTGAATGGTGCTGCTGCAGAGGAATCTGTGGCAGTAACGGGGCTCAGGACTGCACAGCCCAGCTGCCCTGCCCTGGGTGTGCACCAGACCACTGAAGAGAAGCACTCAAGCCATGGCGGCGGGGGAGCATTTGGAGTCGCTGCATTTACAGAGGCAGAAAGGTGGGAACAGCATGATGCCCCCAAAGAGGGGAACAAACTCAAGGAGGCAGAGCTGTCCAGTGTGAAATGCTCAGCTGAAAGTCAGAGCGAACCCCTGATGTGGACCACACTGTGTGGAACCTGGAAAACGTGTGCGGAGAGAAAGAAACCAGACACCAAAGCCACATGTGGTGTGGTTCCATTTACGTGGACTATCTAAAGTGGGGAGATCCACAGGGGCAGAAAGCAGAGAGGGGTGGCTGGGGGCTGAAGAGAGCAGGCCAACGGCAGTGGCTGTCACAATCCATATAGGTAGGTTTTTCTATTAGGGGCCATGAAAAGTTCTGGAACTAGGTGACTGTGAAGGTGCCTCAGGAATAAGGAGAACAGTCCAAACCCAAACCTAGTCCAAGGAGGGAAAACAAAGATCAGAGCAGAAAATAGTAAAACTGAAGCTAAAAAGACAATATAAAGAATGAATAGATCCTAGAGCCGGTTATTCCAGAGAATAAACAAAATAGAAAACCCTTAGCCCAAATCACCAAAGTTAGAACAGACCCACCTCAACGCATCTAGAGTGAAAACGGGGAAATCACAGCAGACACCGCTGAAATCCAGAAAATCATTGACAACTGGTATGAAAACTACTCCCACAAACTGGAGAATCTTGACAAACGGACAGATTTCTAGACACATATGAATTAGCAAAATTGAATCCAGAAGATGTAAAGATGCTAAACAATAACTGGAAATAACAGGAGATGAAATTGAGGCTGTAATCACAGCCCTAGCAACTAAGAAAGGCCCAGGATGCGGTGCTGAATCCTACAAGGCCTGCGGGGAGGATGTAACACCAGTCCTCCTCACACTCTAGTGAAAGTGACAGAGGAGAAGTAGGTCCACAGTCATCCCCTGGGCTAGCAACTCCCTGATTCCAACACCAGACAAGGAGCAGACTAAAAAGAAAACCATAGGCCAATCCCTATTGCACATAGATTCAAAACTCCTCAACAAAATACTAGCAAACAAAAAGCAATCATCAAAAAATGATCATACATCAAAACCAAGGAGGATTCACCCCAGGGGTAGAAGGATGGCTCCACCTCCACAAATCAATACGTGTAATCTATTACATAAACTAAAGTAAGGACAAAAATCACAAGATCATCTCAACAGGTGCATTACGCAGTCCTCATGCACCTGAGGGTCTGTGCAGGCCTGGCCTGCACCTCCTGGTTCAGTGGTCTCAGCACCAGCCTGGTGGGCTCCATGCTCACCATGCTGCTGGCCCTGTGTGGGAACAACTGCATTGGCCACTTCTTCTGCGAGTTGTCCCTTATCATGAAGCTGGCCTGCATGGACACCAGGCTGAATGAGCTGGAGATGTACCTGGCCAGCTTCGTCCTTGTGGTGCTGCCCCTGGGGCTGATCCTCCTGTCCTATGGCCACATCACCAGGGCTGTGCTGAGCATGAGGTTGGCCCAGGGGAGGAAAAAGGCCTTCAAGACCTGCTCATCCTATGAGGCTGTGGTATCCCTGTTCTATGGGAGCATCATCTCCATGTACCTGCAGCCAGCCAGGAGCAGCTCCCATGAGCAGGGCAAGTTTGTGACACTCTTCTACATGATGATCATGCCCGCTCTGAACCTGCTCATCCTGAGGAAGAGGACTTGTAGGAGGTGCTGGGCCACCTGGTGTTAGGGCCCTGCAGGCCTCAGGATGTGGGGCTAGAGAATAGCAGAGATGCTGGCCACTGCCGAGGGGACAAACAAGACAGGACACCAGCAGGGCCATGGTGGAGTCCAGGGGGAGCTGGCACCAGTGTACATGCATCATGTCAGGCCAAGGTGCAGAAAACATGCTTTGTTTTCACTTCTCATTAATTATCCAAACCTTGCTAAAGAGTTTTTATCATTATATATGTCACATATAGGTTATTGTCATCTTGTTAATGATGTCATATTTGTGGGAGATATATATATATATATATATATATATATATGTTAATTTTACATGACTTAGTTGTTCATAATAATCTCTGCCATGCAGTGTGCCTGAGCTGTGGGAAGCATTTTATATTTTTCTAATGTGCTCAGTGAGTCCGCGAGATTCACATTCACAACCCTGTACAGATCAGGTGACTGCGGGAGCACTGAGCCCTGGACTGAGATGTAAGTCCACATCTGTCTGTGGATGTGGGTACATTTTTGCCCAGCCCCCTTAGGTGTAGTGGGAAACACATATTTGGTCCCAGTTTGCACACAGAACTCCTGAAAGCCTGTACCTGCCTAAGAGTGAATAACAAGTCCCTGAACCCAGGAAGCATCTTCCTGAGCCCTGCAGACTTTCCCACACATGCCCAGCTGGAGAGCCCATGCACAGGACAAGAAGCTGCTGGGCTGGGCTTCCCTCTGAGGGAGGGTGGTGGGCAGGATGGAGCCCTGGAACCTGTGGGGTCTGAAGCAAGCTCCACGTAAGTGATGACAGAAAGGGCCCAACTTCCAGAAGATGCAGTCACTGCTGGGAGAGCCCCATGCACTTGGTGTTGGACTGGTTTTGGTCAGAGACATCACCCTGGAGATCCATGTGTCCCAGGAGCAGAGCAGAACTGCATCATCAGTAGTGAGAATGCTCAGGGTCATGCTCTGCACTGGCTTATCTGCAGCTCCTCAGTGACGGCTTAGACACTCCAGGGCAGCTCTGGACCTGTTTCCAGGACATGTGAGGAAGTGTCTAACTATGCACTCTTATCTTGGCTTGCCCTTCTGTTATACCCACACACCACTGGCCCTTGCTGAAAGAAATCTATTTCAGCACACAGTACCATCCTGAGAGAGATAAATCAAGTTCATGGGCTGTCATTGGCTGTGCTGATTTAAAGCTCAAACCAGTCTGAGAGAGTTGAGGATGTTGACCGTGTAAAGATCAGAAATCCTGGTCAGAGAGAAAGTAGTGCTGGTACTGATCTTTGAGCACAGCATGCGTGGAATCATCTACTCACAATATTGTGTGTGGTTATTCTTCAGGCCACCTCCCCCCACCCAAAGTCCTGTACTCTGAAAACACTTCTGGTTTTCTGATCGCACACATTCCTAAGTGTCACACTGGCGCTCACAGAGGGCTTTTCTGGTCAATACCAGCAGATATTGGGAGACTTGGATTTGGATAAAACTGCAAATACAGTGTTGGGCAAATAAGAGCTCAGCCTAGCAACTGTGAAACCCCTCCTTAGCAATATGCATTTCTGATGTTTGTAAAGCCTCTGGAGGTGTGTATAACATGGGAACCAATCTCTCACATGTGTGTGTAGTTGATGTAAAATAAAAACAGCATTAAAAGCTGATGCAATCAAGTACTGATCCAAGTTCAGCCAAAATGCTGATCCAGTCACACATCCTCCTCAGCCCAATTCCCATGTATTTGCTTATTCATGTGTGGGGTTGATGAGGAGTGGCCATAATTTTATCTCCTTTACTAATATCAATAACTTATCTGCACACACTGCTGAGTTTCACCAGGCACATTTGGGGCAGTTCATATGAATCTGTTCACACACTGTCACAGTAGGGCATGAGTTAGGCACTGTCACAGCCCCATTTTGCAGCTGAGGAAAATGAGGTCCATATAGCTGTGTCGGCTGCCAGAGGCTCATGCCAGGCTCAGAGCACTATGCCCTTCCTGAGTGCTTTCTCCATGAAAATCTGAAGGTCCCCACTGACTCAGTCTCTGGAGTGACCCCAAAAGCACTGCAGGACCTTCCAGCTGGTGAAGGCCCTGGTTTGCCGTGGTGTGTGGACATTTGAGCTGTGTTTTCAGTTTATTTTTCCATCTGGAATGTGCATAGGTGTCTTTCTCTCATTGAATTGTTTTCTTACCATGACCCTCAGAATGTCTATTGTTGGCACAAGTGTTGTAGCCACTTCCTCTGTCTTAGACCCATTCCCCAGGTGTCACCAGGGGAGGGGGAAGCTGGATGTGGAGCAGCCACCGCCTCAGCACCTCCCTTCAGAAGGAAGAAGCCTCAGGCCTGCTCACCTCAGTGCCTGCACTGCAGCCAGCTCCCACCTCTGCACTGCACCTCCGTACTTCTACCCAATCGTGTTTCCCAATATCGCCCTCACCACCCACACAGCACTGAGTCTCTGCCCTGGAGCACAGAGTTGTCTTCCATGTGTGCGAGCAGCACAGGGCCTCTGCTCCTTCCCTGAGCTCCTGAGGAGATGGGCAGCACCGCCCACTGCCCTCTGCTGTTCCACACAGAGGACATGATGAGCCCCGGAGGAAGTGGGTCTGGATTCCAGGAGAGCCAGGCTGATCTTTGCCATCACCTGTGGGGCTACTGAAATAATTAGGATCCCAAGATGATGCTGACATCAAAGTGTCCCATTTGAATAATTTAGTCAAGAGAAAAATTCCAAAGACATAGGCAGGTTTAGGGACTCTACCACAGGTATTATGAAAATTGGAATTAAAGCTAGAGAGGATGCAAAGGCAAGGACTCTACCTAATCCAGGGGGACGATCAGGACTGCGGGGCAAGGAGGGGAGGAGAAGTGAAAGTGGAAGGGCTATGCAGGCAGAGATGCCAACAGGGCTGTGATCTTCAGAGAGGACCATGCTAGCTGCACAAATCTCAGGATGGAAGGTAGGGGTGGCACACTTGCTGGCTCCAGGCACCCTCACTGCCTCTCAATGTGTGCTCCTATTGTCTGGACCCAGTCACAGCCACCTGCAGTGCCACTGGTCCATGCAGAGAGGCATAGAGCACATGGATGGGAAGGTGGTGCTGCTGGAGTCATCACTGATGACTGTGGAGCGAACCCCTGGGGATGGTGGACCCTGGTCAAGTCCACACAGACTGTGTACAGAGCACTTACTGGGCCCATATGGGGACTGATCCTGGGGAGCCTGCACCCATGGGACCCAGAGCAAGCAGATGGTGTGTGTGGTCTGTGGTGGGGTCCCAGAGGAGAGGGGTATGGGGGTCCCTCTGGTCACAGACAGGCTTGATGATAGCTATCAGCAGGGTGCACTCAATGTCTTGGACAGAGTGGGACAGAAGAGGGAGGAGCCCCCTGGCCCTAGGCAGGGAGCCACCAGCATGTAGCTGAGAAGAGGAGGCCTGTGCACCTGAACAGGAGAGACTGAACATAGGAAGCAGGGTCTCAGCCCAACACTCCAGGTGAGGAGGTTGCACCTGGAGGAAGCTGAGTTTTGTTTTCAGGTCATTTAGGAGCACGAGCAGCTCGTGAAATACCTTTGCAGGATGTGGCTTAAACGTATAATGATTGAAATACTCATTGCAGTAAAAGATGCATTGCTATTGATCCTCCTCAAAATCCTCCCCCTTGCCTTGAACACGCTCATCCCATCATTCCTGCCACTTTCAGAAGCAGCTGTTGACATCCTCTTTTGTATCTTTGCTACACTTTCATAGCTGCCTCCATGTGCTGAATCCATTCAAAACATTTAGCTTTCATGGTCATTTTGCCTTTGGAAAAGAACCAGAAGCCACACAGTCCCAGATCTGGTGAATAAGATGGACAAGGACACAGCATGGTGCATTTGGGAGCTATCTTTGCACTTGGCTCTGGAATTCACTATATTCTTGACAAAACCTGATAAAGATGCTGAAGAAAGAGGACTTCCAGGACTGCTTCAGAAAGTGGCAAGAGTGATAAGGCTTTTCAGGGTGAAGGAGGAGTTTGAAAAGTTCGTGGCAATGTGTATGTACTGTAATAAACTTTAATTTAAATCTTTGCTCTATATTTTGATCATGCCTTGTACATTTGTGAAGTTATGCATAGAAATACCAAGTCTCCTGTGCCTGAGATTTCTTAGCCTGTTGTTTTATGGCTTTTTACCTTAGGATTAGGTTTTCAATCTATTTTTTCTCATGTGCACACGCGTGTGTGTGTATGTGTGTGTGTGTGTCTGCATTTGGGGGGGGGAGCATTAGAGGGAGGGAAATAGAGAAAAGAGGAGACACAGCCTGTTATACAATACTTCCCAAATACTTACATGTTAGCCCCCAAACAATATCACTACTTGTAGTTTCATTACTACCTAGAAACTATATCTCTGCCATAATCACAATTTCATTGACACACAAATTTCTGAGGAACATCAGTTCTATCACATGGAAATTTGCTCACCCATGGCCATGTGTAATGCACTGGCAGTAACTCTGGATATAAAACTCGCCTTGTAATCTAACAGAGCATGACATCTGCCTTTATTCTATTTGTCAAACTTAGATTTTTATGGGTATTACTATGTTTTCCTCCACTGAAGTGAAGTCACAAGCTCCCTTCCTGCTCTCCCAGAGGTGCCTCCTGCTGGGACACACATCAGGGGTAAACATGCTCTCCTTTCCATGGCAAGAGAAGCAGCTTGGCTACTGACCCTTGGCCTCAGCACAGGCCATGCTTGCTGCAGGCCTGGCCCCTCACTTCATGACCAAGAACCCCCAATCCACCCCACCCCCAAGCAACCCTCTGTCTCTACCTGCAAGGCAGGTGCTGACACCAGACTCATAAGGCTGCTTCAAGAAGTAAAGTGCTGAAAGTTGGGAAAGTACACAGCACAGCACATAGCACCCTAAAACCCAGCACATTAGAAAAACCCAGTACACTAGAAATCATGTCCAGTCTGCTACACATGGACATAAGTGAGTGAATACCCATGCACTAGAACTGATATTCCTTGAAAGTTCCTACATCTATGAAATTTTTAATATGGTAAGGGTATAGTTTCTAGGTAGCAATGAAACTAAAATACTGATATTGTTTTGGGACTGTTGCCTAAGTTATGTATTCTCTGAGGTCTTTTGTGTCC